GGCACCTGCATATGCAGAAAACCACGATGAGCTTCAGTTGTTCAGTGACCCAGTTCCTTTCATCTCTGGGATGGGCTTGTCTGATTTCATTCCACCTGCTCCAAACTTAAATTCAATATTTGACCAACAATGTTAGCGAATGCAATAACAATAATCTAAATTATTCGTTTCATTTTATATCCTAGGATTTTGTTGTTATTTTTCCTTATTTCTGCTATAATAATAAGCTAATTCATGCCTCTGTCTTGGTTTTGGAAGGAATTATGTGCCAACATCTAGGCGATACCGTTTCCTAATTTAAAATAACTATGAGGTTCCACACTGCACTAGTAAATTTGTAATCAGCTTAAAGATAATGTGTTAAAAGTACAATTAGACATGTCATAACAGAAGAAAACCCTGCTAATTACAAATAGTGTCGTGCTTGCTGGGTTTTTAAACAGTAGCATTAACGCTATGAAAAATCGCCACCCAGTGATGTAAATGAAAACTGCAATTTGTTTTTGTGTAAAATGATACCCTGGAGGATTACTTACACTTTATTACTGAAAGAACACACAGCTATTACCTTCTTATGTGAGCAGAAAGTGGTTACAAGGGAAACGATGTTTCCTGCCAGGTCCCCTTCCGCCCCGTTCGCATTCAGCATACCAGACATTTCACAAAGGCTAAAAGCTTTGGAAATCTTAACGGGAAGAAAGGTTTTCCTTCCAAATGGAGCTAACTGTACAGGGACAGCCCAGATATTCACATTATCAAGAAGAGCGCCTGGGCTTTGCCCAGACTCGGAAGTGGAAGTCATCATACATTGAATCTATCAACTCAGCCGGGGTACCTTGTAACTGTGATCTATAAACTTATTGGTGTTAGGCAGGGATACTGGCCTGAGCGACAAAGTATTCTCAAGTAGAGAAAAGGTTACTTACAAATTTAACAACATTTAGTACAACCTTTTTAGAAATAGGTTAGCAAGGTCACATGAGGAGATAATACAACAACTTCAACATTTATCAGTGTGGACGCTACAGAATTTGTCACAGTAAGAAGTCATTGCTACAAATAAAATTGCATTTCTCAGTCTTTACTTCATTGTAAAATTCAAAAGTCAATTAACACAAAAAACCAGTCATATATTTTATTTTCTGGTAATATACTTATTACACATTAGGCCTGAAAAATTATGTGGATATATGTGAACCTATATATCTATATCTATGTCTAGCTATAGATATATAGATATGTTAGTAAGTATTTTATAGGCACCATTTAATCTACTTGACATTTCCAAAATATTTTCACACAGTGTCCTTTGAGACTATAGTAGATATTGTATAGGTTATTATACAACCATATGACAAAAAGAGCAACTTTTCAATTTTTATTAAAAAAAGAGCTTACCATCCAATTTTCAAAGACAAATAACTATATTTCTAATAATCTGTCAGGACCTTAATCAGTCAACTCAAATCCTTAACTGTTGAAGGATTTTTAACTAACAATGTATAGCATATTCCCTCAACCTCAAAGAGATTAGTTTTCTGATTTGAAAATATTTGAAAATTATTTAAAATACTATATAATAAAAAGTTTAAGGCAGCCAATACAAGAGCCAAACTTTATGAACAGTAGTACAATACCAATGCTTTTATAAAAACAAAAACAGACTGCCCATGGTGGCACACACGTAATCCCAGCCCTCAGGAGGCTGAGGCAGGAGGATCACTGAGTTCAGAGTCAGCCTAAACTACATAGTAAGATCCTGTCTGAAAGAAAGAAAGAAAGAAAGAAAGAACTTTCTCTTTTAGAGAACACAATTTAAATTTTATTTTAAAGCTTAAAAGCTCACTAATATCTTAAAGTTAAAATAGTTTATGGTGAAAACTTTCAAAATTCTTTCTTCCAGCCTTGTGAAATAAGGCTACTATTGTAGTATGTTCTCATTCGACTAAGATTATCATTCTACATGAGCTATCATTCTACTATGCAACAGCTCATGATAACATCTGTTTCTATGTATTAGTTTAAAAAGAAATTTACATTTAAAAAATAAAACATAGATGTTACAAGAAAAGACACCAAGCTGGACAGTTCAGCGATTAAAAGGATAGGCTCTGGTATCAGATAGCCTTGGACAATTTCAGAACCACCACGTTCGTTGAAGGGACCTGAATAAATGAAGTCCTCATTTGAATATGGAGATACTACTACCTCACTCACAGGGTTGTTCTAAGTATTTCACACACATTAACTCATTTAATCCCTCCAATAACCCACTGAGATAGGTAATGATAACATGGACCTAAACAAGCTAAGTGATATCTAGGGCAGTTAAATAACTTGCCCAAGACAGAAACTCCAGCAAGTTGTGATGTCAGGATGTCGGTTCAAGGGGTCTGGATCCAGAGTCAGGGCTCTCACCCGCACCTCACTGTACAGCCTCCCACAGCCTCTCCGGGGAGGAAGGGGGATGGTGTGACTGAGGAAAAGAGAACGAAGTCAGAGAAAATGAGAGCTCAGAGATGATCACAACTGATACCATGAAAACTTCAGGAGAGTCAACTAAGTCCCCAGAACACGAGGTGCTCAAGGACTTCTCAGGGAAAATGGTGGCAGCGTGTGTGTGTGTGTGTGTGTGTGTGTGTGTGTGTGTGTGAAGCTTTCTACCTGGGAAAGATTTTAAATAGGACCAACAAGGCAAGCATCAGCAGACACAGAAACCGAGGGAGTAGGAGTCTCAGTTGTTGCCAGGGAAACCCACCTTGTTAGGATCACTTGAAAGTACAGCACCAGCGACACTACAAATCGAACTATTATCCTGGAACTACAATGGAAGCAGACTCCTCACCTTCACTGTAAAGCTGCTAGACATACGGTGCTGAATACAGCACCAATCCTGCGCAGTCCAAGATGGCCCTGGAAAACTCTCTTAAAATACAGCACATCATCCTTTGGAAAAACAGACCATTAGAGCATCAATATATCAGATGGAGCAGCTGGTACTGGAACATATTAGAGTAATTAAAGTCGGAAATCCCCTCATTAAACAACAAATCTGGAAGTCTGTGTGTCTTCTGAGGATCAGCTAAAGGCAACTTCTTAAACCACAATATTTCCTGGAAAAGGAAAAGAGGTCTATAGCAGATCAACTTCACCTACTGAGGCAGGAGGCCCTGGAAACCAGGCCCCTACACAGGTAGCGCTAAAACAGTCAGTGAGCATCTGCTCAAGGCTACCTGAAATTGGATATCTTAGAAAAAGCAGCACAAGGGGCCATTTTCCTTTGGTGAAAGCTTGTCTCTGAAATACTCCAAAGTGGCAAGGCACCAAAAAAAGAGGTGAGAGAGAGCTCTGAAACTCAGAAACCATACATACTCTCAAAGACACCACTGTCCCCCGCCCATTCGTTACTTGACTATTACAGCAAAAAGGATAACGTCAACTTCCAAGTATGTAACCGAAAAAAAAGCCGAGTTCTTCGCAAATGTCTTAACACTACAGAGATGTTAAAATGAAAACTATAGAACAGAGTTTTAAAAACCACACTTTGTGAAAATAATTGCTGAGAGAATTCATTGTGAAACCCCTGAAGAAGACACTTCCCAGAAGGCCTGGGTTTGCCTCTGAAGTTTTTCTGCCAGTGAGGCGAATTCAGGAGGTGGAAGGAGAGCAACGCCGGCAATCTTCAAGGAACTAACGCTGGGGTCGACAGAGCCAGTTCCGACTTGGAAGCTGAGGCACGAATTCCTGACTCGGTAAGAAAGAGGGTCAGACGAACAGTCATAACCATGCAACCAACCTCACTCCTGCCAGAGATCACTAGTGCAACAACTCTGCCCGTTCTGGCCATTGCCCTTGTCCTCCGCGTACAAGACAGATTTGCCACGGCACCCACGTGTTCCAGATTGTGTAAAGGACAGAAGATTCTGCGGTAAAGTTTATCCATGAGAACCGCTGTTCTGGTCTTCCAGAGATTATTATGGTCAAGAAATGGAAGAGAGCCAGAGAGGAAAAAAACCATGCGTCCTCTCTGCAAGAACAGGTCCTAAAGAAGGTCTGACGAGGAAGAGACTTCCCCAACCCTTATCTACTGAACATGCGGCAGTCAGAGGCATAGGGTGAGCCCAGTTGTGAGATGACCGGAAGCATGACAGAGCAGATGCTGAGAGTTCAAGACCACTATTAAATCGGGGGGATCCTGAGAAACACGCCAGGGAGTGAACACCAGTGTGGCTTAATGCAAATCTTCTCAAAGGAGGAGCAGGAATTCGGTAGGAGAAGGTCCAGCGGGGATGAGGATAAGGACTCTGGATTATCCTCTCCGGGGAGACAAACCACGGGAAGAACATACAAAAGCCGTGAAGCTAGGGGAAGACACAATGATGCAGAGGAAATTTTACTTTTCAGAATCCTCTGGAGGAAGAGTACAGTGTATTTGTTTGAAATAAATATTTTTAAAGCCACCAAAATCAACAGGTCAGGTTTATAATCTTTTAAATCTTTATATTAGAAAATATTATTTAAAATCTTTTAAATCCTTACAATTACAGGAAATAAAGTGGTCCTTAAAAATATTAGAAGACAGTATTTAATAAGTGCAAATTAGAACTTTACATCAGTAAATATTTAATGGAGGACTGGTTTAATTTCAGATACTTCTTCAGGAAGGAATCATGGTACTATTTCTAAGACTGAAGCTGAATTTATCAAAGATTCTGCACAATTCCGTTTTTCACAGTTATGATCACGAGGCTGTCAGATGGGCAGAAGGTGTGATTTTATAAATTTAATTAGAAACACAAACTAATACGTAAGAGTCTGACTTGATGATAATCTTCCAAATAATTGATGACCTTTATTTTATAGATTTCACTTGAAATTACACAAATTCTGACATTAGTAAAAAAAAAAAAAAAAAAAAAAATTAAAAATAAATCATGTAATTATCAAGTCATTTAAAAAAAATTCATCTAGTTATGATTTTGTATTTTAAAAAGACTTACCTAAGAGGACAAACCCATCTGCTTCCGTCTCCGATACCGAAGGCTTTTTAGACTCTGGAGGCTTTCTGAAGAAGTGGAACATCGCTGCTACTGCTGCTCTCTGAAACAGAAAGGCCAGATAATGCCGAACTCAGAGAAACCTGTAAAACTCTTACCCTTCTTAGTGAAAACCCAAACATAAAGATACTCCAGTGATTCCTCTTGGAATTCTATTGTCAGACTTAAAGCCATAAAGCTTGCCGGGCGTGGTGGTGCACACCTATAATCCCAGCACTCAGGAGGCTGAGGCAAGAGGATCGTTGCAAGTTTGAGGCCAGCCTGGGCTGCAAAGTGATCTCAAGGCCAGCCTGAACTGCACAGTGAGACCCTGCCTCAAAAAAAAAAAAAAAAAAAAAGAAAAAGAAAAAAGCCATAAACTTTCTCTAAGGCATCAGAAGACAATGCTAGAAATTAAGGTACGTGGACCTGAAATCTAACATCCTTAGTGCCTGAGATTCACAGTGCAACTTCTATCTCTTACGGTTCAGAAAATTTAAAAGAAAATCATTCCATATAAAACTAAAACCAACAGTTACCACCACAATCTGGAAGATTCTCACTAAGAGTAAACATTAGTTTGAAGAAAGGAAAGCAAACACAAAAACATGTCCTGGTTTTTTGTCATGTCATAACTAGCTAATGCCTCATAAAACTAAGGCCATACATAAAAAGGAAAGAAGGCACTTCAGTCTACTGGTGGTTACCTGATTCAGAGATGCAAAGAAGGCAGCAGTGATTTTAAAACTCCAGCCAACTTTAAATCCCCACCAGTGAGATCTTTGTGTTGATAAGATTATCATATACAGACCCCAAAACACACACACACACACACACACACACACACACCTCTAATTCTCCTACACTATTCTCATGTACATTCAAGAAAGGTAAAAACTTTTAGAAAACTGGGATGAAAGCTGGAGGGTGCTCAAGGACACAATGCCCTTACAGCCAGAGATAGCAAAAGAGTGAATAAAGAAAGAATCCTCATAGCAGTAAGCATTCCAAATTTTAGTTTTCATATATTCTGCTCATAACAAAAAAATTAAGAGTAGGTAAGAATTAATCCAGAAGCTAAAAACTATACTGGGATTTGTGTAGGTTGTGTTGACTTCAGTTGTAGACCCAAGGTTATTAACACCAACATTTATTGACATAAAACATAACTGACAGATTTCACTTTTAAAAAGAATTTAAAAATGAAAAAAAAGTCATCCAAAAAAAGAGAAAATTTCCAGCGAAGGAAAAGGAACATCCAATGAAATCCTCAAAGAAAGTGCTCATTAAATATGGTGACAGAAGCCAGGCATGGTGGTGCATGCCATACCTGTAATCTCAGCACTCTCCGGAGGCTGAGGCAGGGGGATCGTTAGGAGTTCAAGGGCAGCCTGGGCTATAAAGTGAGCTCAAGGCCAGCTTGAACTGCATAGTGAGATCCTGTCTCAAAGAGACCAACAAACAAACCAAAATATGGTGACAGAGAGAAAAGAAAAGTCTGAAAATCATTTGACACCCTCTCTAGAGTAGAAGAATACAGGGCTTCTATTATGAAACTGGTAAAAAACAAGATTTGATGCAAAAGCGAAAGAAAAAGATGAAGAGATAAGGACTCAAATGAAAAAAGTAACTGAATAAGATAAAGAAAACTGCACATAGGTAAATATGAAATCAGAAAAGAATGGTCTGGCTTGCAAGCAGGAATAGAAGAAAATAGAGTTCAAATTAAAAGATATATAAGACTGGAAAGAGGCAACCATTTCTCAACCCAAAACAAACTTAAAGGTCTCTGGGAAGGCCTCTGAAGGAACAACAGCTGATTAAAACTCAATCTTACATAAAGACCAAATCAAAAGACACACTGTCATTAATCCCCCTCAAAATACTCCCCACAATTCAAACACACCTATGCAGTCCCTCTTGGTGAAGCAGATCTGGCAGTCTCTTTTGTGAATGTCTTTACAAAGTGTGATCAAAAGTAAGGTTGAGGGTTGGGGATATGGCTCAGGGGCAGAGCACTCACCTGCTGAGTGAGGCCCTGCGTTTGACCCCCAGCACCGACAAAAAAGGGAAGAAAAGTTTGAATGTTGCCGCCAAGTGCCATCCAACAGAAAGGCAGGCTGGGACGGACATCGCAGTGCGTCCCCTTCCGCCTTATCCCCCAAGCTGGCACTGCGTGACTTCTGGCTCTTCCCCAAAGTCACAAAGACCATGAAAGGTAAACGTTTTCAAAGGATTCAGGACATCCAGGCGGCCAAGACAGCCAAGCTAAAGTCACAAAAGAGGATTTCCAGAGCTCCAGAAAGTGGCTAGAATGATGGTGTGGAAGTGTTTTGGAAGTAAGAGGAAATATTTTGAGGGCAATTAATGGCAATCAATATGCTGTCTTTTGCTGTAATGAATTTTTAAAATTTAGACATTCATTGTATTTTTCTACCACACCACATATGACTACTGAATATTTAAAACAACCACTGGAAGGGGCTGGGGATTTAGCTCAGCGGCAAAGCGCCTGCCTGGCAAGCACAAGGTTGTGAGTTTGATTCTTCGTACCAGAAGAAAAACAAAAAAACAAAACAAAACAAAACAAAATAAAAAAATAAATAAAACAACCACTGGATACCAATTTTCCACAGACAAGAAGCTACCAGAGAACACTGCTCAGCCCCCAAGGAGGGTCCACTCCCCACTCCCCACTTGTTACACCAGTTGTACTGGAAAAAGAAAAAATTCTAAAAGGCTGGGGATATAGCTCAGTGGCAGAGCACTCATCTATGATGCACAGGGCCTGGATTTGATCCCCAGCACTGTCAAAGGAGAGCGAAGGAAGGAGGAAAGAAGAAAAGTAGCAGCAGAAGAGCAACAACAGTCAAGCCTCGCTGCTATGACTCTGGGACTGCTGTGTGCCCACCCGCCTTCCCTTTCTTGAATGGAGTATTAGAAAGAGACTCTTGCATGCCCCCTGGGATGCGGAGCTTTGAGCTTTGATGCTATGATTAAATGGGGCAGTTGGAGCTACTGTCTTCGGGATGGTGAGCGACTCTGCTGCAGTAAAAAGAGAGAGCTGAACACACAGTAAAAGAAAACCACGGAATCATTAGTGGTGTTTACCACCTCTACTTTAGGCAGACAAAATAAACCAGCTTCCTACCCTTCTAGGAGTTAGGTGTGGCCATGCCACTTCCTTTCCCCACTATGTAGCATGACATTGCAGTGTTGTAACAAGCGGTTTTGGGGGCCCACAGACAGTTCCTTTGAAAAGTGGTTCCTCGGGCTGGGGATTTAGCTCAGTGGCAAAGCGCCTGCCTGGCAAGCGCAAGGTCATGAGCTCGGTTCCCGGTACTGGAGAAAAACAAAAAACAAAAAAAAAAAAGAAAAGAAAAATGGTTCCTCTTCTAACATACACAAACAGCCTTGTAATAGGACATGCATTTCTAACACCTATTCATGTCTGACCACAAAATAAAGAACAAACATGGAAATCACGAAAGTAGTTCTGATAAGCCACTCTTGAGACCCTGAAATTTAGAAAACTTTTTATGAAAGCCAGACCAACTCGGGTAACATGCAAGAAAAGTTTTGTTTTCATTTGGTTTGGTTTTTGGTGGAGGTGCTAGAGATCAAAGCCAAGGCCTCACCCACGCTAGCAAGTGCTCTACTACTGAGCTACTTCCCCTGCTCAAGAATCTCTTCTTAATTCAAGTAGTTTATTTAGAAGTTACTGTTCAATAAAGCATCTCTCATGGCCTCAAGCATCATAATCAAACAGTATGGAGGTTCCAGGAGTTTGTTAGATAGTGTGACTTGCTGGCAAAGTCACATTCTCACTTTCAACCTGTCACTTCACAACATCCCAAACACGTGAGAGGAGAGATAATTTAGGTTCCAAGTCTCAAGAAACTTCGAGGTACAGAAGAACAACAAAAATAAGGCAAAAATGAACAGAGAGTGTTAAAGAACATGGCAAGAGGACAACTTTACTGAAACAGCCACTGGAAATGGCTCTGAAATCAGCAGAGAAGTACCCATCACCCTGCTACTGTCAGCACATGCCTGTAATCCCAGTACTCGTGAGGCTGAGGCAGGAGGATTGCTGCAAGTTTGAGACAGCCTGGGCTATAAAGTGAGCTGCACAGTAAGACTCTGTCTCAAAAACACACAGAAAAAAAACATATTTATATGTCATATAAAAGTTTTAGTTCACAATTTTCAGAAAATTGTCTAAAGTTTCTTACAACCACTTTGTGTGTTACGGATACAGTCTCTGCATAAGAATTAAATGGTTCTAGCCAGAGATATAGCTCAGCAGCACAAGTGCCTGCCTGGCAAGTGCAAGGTCCTGAGTTCCTGTGCATTATAGAATGCACATAGAAGTGTTTGCCTGAGAGCTGACAGCCCAGATTCTACTGTTCAAAATCAAAGACAGCAAGGTATGTAACATATTTCATTTTTGCTATTATCCCAAGGCTTCCCATTGAAGTGATATTACCCATGACAAAAGGATTAAGGGAACACAGCTTTCCAATTTGGTTATCTCATGTTAACTTCACCAGACTACTGGTTAATAAATATATCAATGTGGGGGCTGGGGATTTAGCTCAGCGGCAAAACGCCTGCCTGGCAAGCGCAAGGTCGTGAGTTCGGTTCCCGGTACCGGAGAAAAAAATAAATAAATAAATATATCAATGTGTATTTCCCCTCTAAATTTGTACCAAAATTCAATACATATATAAAGTTCATAGTGCTGAACAATTAAAATCCTGAACAGTGTTTAATCATCTTCCTCTTATGTATGACTCTGGAATGCATGATTAATACAAACATAACACAAATTTAGGGCCGGGCATACAGCTCAGTGGCACAGCGCATGCCTGGCAAGTGCAAGGTCCTGAGTTCGATTCCTGGTACCAAAACAACAAGAACAACAAATTTAGCTAACAGTTTTCTAATTTCTCCTGAGAGATACCAAAATAATACAGTAAGGTAGTCCATGTTTTGGTGGCTTTAATCAAGAATACAGCACCAAATAGTATAAAATATCCCAGATGGATCAATGAGAATTAG